GAAAATTACATGAAAGTTGGAATTTATGGCATTCTGGCCACTGGGAAGTGAAGTTTATTATACTGCTTGTATCAATGGCACTCCCTTTCTTTTTACCTTCAGAACTTGTTCAAATATATGGTAAGTTTCTTTCTTTTTCATAGTTTTAACCATTAGACAGTACTAAAAGTAATTGGGGTTATCATTCAAGTAGCTTTGAGTAGAATATTGTTTTTTTTCCCTTGAAAAGATAACTCCTTTCTTTCTTTGCCATTTCCTTGAATATAGTTAGATAATGAGAATAATACGTGTGAGTCTAAGTCTTACATTAAATAAAAATGACAAGGTTAAACACCATGTAAGAAAAAAGACTAATAAACTTAATGTTTCGAGTATATTAGATTCAAGTTACATATATATAATCTTTTTCTAATGATCAGAAAAAAGTGGTGTCAATCTTTTATTTAGTTTGAACTCATTTCACATGTTTATATAATTTTTCTCTAATCTTGCAGGAGAGGTTGCTCGTATTGGTGCAGGGTAAGCTTCAAATCTTTCACCTTTTCGTTTTACCAATACAAGGTTGTTATTTACATGAATGGGTGGTTCATGTTCAGAGTTTTTCTTCTTCTACAACTTGTGAGTGTCATCCAATTTATCATTTGGTGGAATAAGTACTGGATTCCAGATGAAGAAAGGAAGCAGAGGTAGCTACACATCATTATTGTTGCAAAACTTCATAGCTAAACTTGAAAAATCAATGTTCACATGTTTTCAACACTTTCTACTCACAGATTGTTGACTTAACTGGATATCTGCATATCTAAATTTCTCAGCACATACAATTTACAATTTATAAAATAACTGAGTATCTTAATTAATTACCCTTGTTAACTAAATGAGTATTAATACTCTCATACTTGTGAATCTTACTTATCACCACTTGATAGTGATTTTTATTTATTTATATCTTTTTGATGATAAAGTCATCAAAGTTAAGTTATCAGGGAAGAAAAAGTTAATTATTCTAAGAATTGTTAAGATGATTATAAAGTTATGTTTTTATTTAGTTATAGAATTAAATAAAAACGTTGTATGAATTTGTTTTCTAAAGAATCTAACTTTTTATGATGTAATTTTATTTGGATTGTATTTTAACGGTAAATGAGAGATAATGTATATAATAGTGTGTTAGTGACAGGTGGTCCTTTGGACTTTTGATGTCAACATTGTTTTATGTTGCCTCTATGTGTGGAATTGTGTATCTGTACACAACATATGCTCCAAGAGCTTCATGTTCTCTCAATCTATTTTTCATCACTTGGACAGCAATTCTACTTGCTGCAATTATGGTTGTTTCCTTACATTCAAAGGTACAATGCTACTGTTATTTCTGACCACTCTAGATTCTCAATTTGGTTTTTTACTGTCTTTTTTTGAACGTTAAAAATACACTGATGCTGACATCAAAATCATTATCTATCAATGTATTTTGGAAACAAAAAAATCAGCAGGGACTCCAAATTCATTTCTAAAAATCTGCATTAGCAGGAAAAGTATGACTTTTTCATGTTTCTAATTTCTTTCTTTATTCCTGAGAGGATATTAGTTGGACTAAAACATGTTTTTAATGTTTGTATATAGAATGAGAATTTATGTGTGACAGAAAGCTGTCCTAATATCTTAATTTTCATCAAAATAATTAAAAAGTATGGTTTATAATCTATATGTTTAATTATTACAGGTTAATAGAGGTCTTTTATCTTCAGGGATTATGGCTTCTTACATTGTTTTTCTTTGTTGGTGTGCATTGAGAAGGTAAAGATTCTGAAACATACTCTATAACTGTCCTTAGATTTCAAAAGTCCAACCAAACACACTATAATATCGCTTTAACTCAAATATTAGTTTATTAATCTATAAAATATAGTCATAAATTTTTTCTATAATGATCATTACTTTGATTTTACTAAAGAGGGTTCGATTTGATTATATATGTGATAGCTTGATTCAGTGTGAACTTCAAATCATGTTTTATTTGGAAATTCCTTATAGAGATGGTATACTTATAGATCTCCATCATGGAGTTTCAGTGAGCCTGCAACTGCAAGATGTCAGACAAAGAATCAAGAGAAAGGAAACAGTGATTGGATAACTATAATTGTAAGTTTTTGAGTGCATCTTCATGTTAAATTTCAAAAAACAAAAACTTTGTTTACTTCCTCTTCATTTCCATGGAGTCCAAAACTCCTGAGCATTCATTCTTTCTTCAGTCTTTTATAGGTAATTATTGAGGTTAGAAAAAGTAGATTTTCTGTTTCAGTGTTGGCAGATTTGGTAGAATGTTTACTATGATATTAAAATATATTCTAATAATGTTTGTTTAGTTTATTGTGCCATACTTATTTTGTTTTTCTATTTTTTATTAAAATTAAAATGCAGATTTTCTCCTATTATGATGTTTGTTTACATGAATGTTTCAGTCACCCTGTTATTTACATCATATATTATTTTCTTAACAGGGCTTCCTTATTGCCATATTTGCAATTGTGATAGCAGCCTTTTCCACAGGCATTGATTCCAAATCCTTTCAGGTGAATCATATTTTCAACCTTCTTAAATATTTTAAGTACTTCTTAATATTTTAAAAAATTTTGATTAATTAACTTAATTTTATAAAACTGGTTTACAAGACGAGGTTTGTCTCTGTTTATATACTTTAAATTAGTTTTACTTTTAATCGATGTAAGACTTTTCACGTTCTGTTTGATCTAACAAGACAACTCAAGCATGCTGCAAGTTGAATAAAATTTTATGAACAAAGTTAAGAGAAAAATATCCCTCTATAAAAAGTTAGACCATAATCTTTTCATGGCCTTTTCAATATCCAAAAAAGGATTAATGTTGAATCAAAGCAAAGCCAGTTCCTTATTATGACTACAGATAGAAAAGGTAAGTGTGATATTGATGATAAAATCGTAAAAGTAGTGTTTTTTGGCCCCTTTCAGTTTTCAGAAGACAAAGTTGAAGAGGAAGATGATATTCCTTACAGTTATGGATTTTTTCATTTGGTATTCTCCTTAGGAGCAATGTACTTTGCAATGTTATTCATCAGTTGGGATCTGAATAACTCAGCAAGAAAGTGAGGAACCTAATTCATCTTATAGTCATTCTATGCTTTGTGTATGATCATGATATGATTTATGACATCTTAATTATATCTTCTTTTCAAACCACCAGGTGGAGCATTGATGTTGGCTGGATGAGTGCATGGGTGAGAGTTATCAATGAGTGGTTTGCTGCAACAATTTACAGTAAGTTAATCTATGTTATGTACACATGCACAAAAAAAAAAAGTGTTTTCCAATTTTCACTAGATTCATTCATATTAACAACACAACAAATGTTATGTTTATATATTAATTGTTTTCTTTTTATTTGATTGTAACAGTATGGATGCTGATTTCACCAATTGTGAGAGAGAACAAAGTCATGAATAATGGTAGAACTGTGCAGGAGACAGTTGACTCGGTTATGCCATGATTAACAATCACAAAAATCATCAACATTCTTACAAGAAAAAGGGAAATTCTCCCCTTTAATTTTTTTCTGCTCCTTAGTATATTTTACTCTTTAACTCACTTTTTCTTTAATGGTTGAAAGGAAAAAAAGTGGAAAATGAAATAAAATGATAATATATTTGCTTTACGTGGTAGACCTGGCTGAAATATATTTTCAAATGTAGTATATAATCATGGTTCTGATATCTCAGTTTGTGTTAATTGTCACAGTATTTAAATTCAAATAATGGTTAAGGTTATGATATGATGTAATGTTATAAAAGTTGTGATTGGATTTGCTGTTGTGGACCACAGATTTAATGGTTTAGTTGGCAGCAATTTGTGTTAAGTGTTTGTTGACTTCATTATTTAAATTTACATCAGGAATATGTTAAAATAAATTGTTGACAACTTCTTCTGATATAAATTCTCCTAACAATTACGCTTTTATATACATTATAAATAAAAGTTATTTATTTACTTGGTAACAATATGTGTGGAACTTTTTTTTCCTTTAAAGTAAAAGTTTATTAAAATTTAAAAGCATAAATGACTTTTGGATCAAAATGTATAAGTGATATTTTTTTTAATACACAGGTTAGTAATAAATTATAAAATTTTAACTTAAATTCTTGAAAATAAATATTTAGTTATATTTTGTTTTTGTTGTTGGCTCTTCCAATGATATAAACTATTTTAAAATTTTTGTTTTGGTTACTGAACTTCATTTTTATCATAACCACTATTACAATTGATGAGATAAGTAACAGAAGAAACTAAATACATATAATTTTTCAGTATTTCAGATAATTAACAATTATTTTAATTTAATAAACCCGTGAAATGATAATATCATATATTTAAAAACCAAAATTTTTAATTTCTTAATTATCCAACTTAAAAAAAAAAACATTACCAAAAACTTGAGAATAAAGTCATTTAAGTGAAGTTTAAATTTATCTGGCGATTAAAGTTGCGAATCATGTACATATATTTTGCATAAACATAAAAAGTTTAAAATATGGCTTATGAGTCTATTACAACGTATAAATTAACCACAAACTCATACACATTTTTTAAAGCCTAAAACATTGAAGTTTCCTTGTGTAGAATTTCAAAAATTATATAAATGTGACATGAACTTAACCTTCGTATAAGAATTGACATCACTTTTAATTTAAAATTTCAAAGCATTAAGTTTATGAATTTTGTTTTTCTTATATAATATTTAACTCTGTTTTATTCCTGTATTCCTATCTAATGTAGAAGAATCACTCAAAAGTGAAACCAATCTAAATTTGGCTCATCCAAATTTGCTCAAGGCACAACTAATCTGTTATAGTATTAACAACTTCATTACCACTATTTCTCAGAACTACTCCAACACAAACAGACACAATGCGTTAATTCCTTAGTATATAAGACCAAGAGTTGAATTCCATTTCAGTCAATCCAAAATAACCATTCTATTCTCCCAAAACAAACAAATTAAGCACAAAACATGTCTTTGGGATCATCCACAGCAGGTTTTTGTGTTGCAATGTTGTCTGCCTTTGCACTTATGGCAGTGCCAATTTGCATGGCAGCCACAGAACCTGTGATGGAGTTGTACATGCATGACATTCTTGGGGGCAGTAACCCTACAGCACGGCCTGTGACAGGGTTGCTAGGCAGCATATACAGTGGTCAAGTGCCATTTGCCACCCCAGTAGGGTTCAACACTCCACAGGGTGGAATTCCCATTCCCAATGCAAATGGTGCCATTCCCACAGTGAATGGGGTCACTGGCATTCCACTGGGCACTGGCTTGGCTGGAACCCTCTTTGCACCAAACAACAACAACAACCAAAACAATGCACAATTGGAACTAGGACCTGATGGATTAGGACTTGGTTTTGGCACAGTAACTGTGATTGATGATGTGTTGACCTCTCAACCTGAGTTGGGATCACAACTGGTTGGGAAGGCTCAAGGGGTGTATGTGGCTAGTTCAGCAGATGGGAGCAGACAGATGATGGCATTCACAGCACTTTTTGAAGGAGGGGAGTATGGTGATAGCTTGAACTTTTATGGCTTGTACAAGATAGGAAGCACCATGTCAAAACTGTCTGTGATAGGAGGCACAGGGAAGTTCAAGAGTGCAAGAGGGTTTGCTGAACTGAGATCTCTTATCCCACCAGGGCAAGTTTCCACTGATGGTGCTGAGACACTGCTCAGAATCACTGTTCATTTGTATTGAACTACTGAACTATGGTGGTGATGTGGATGCATTTGTGATTAGTGTTGGTCTTGTGTTTTTGTTAATGTATTTGATGTAGTAATTGAGTTGTTCCTTGAGAATTTGTAACTTCTAGGTTGGTTGGCTATGGATCATATTATGATTGATTAATGGGATGACTTAATGATCAATATTAAATCTTACTCTGTTATTTTTTAAAATTAGAAGGAAAGGTTTCTATGAATTTAATCTTCAGCATAGTTAATCTTCAATAAGGCAAAATATTAATGTAATATATATATATATATATATATATATATATATATATATATATATATATATATATTAAAATGCTTTGGAATGGCAAACAACTTGAAAGCTAGTGGCAGTGGTCACCAGACTATAACATTAATTGAAACCAAGGTGTATTATTTAAAATGCAAAAAAATTAATCAAATTTTAATTGGGCTATAATAATCAAAACTTTGTTTACTTTGTATATGTGTAGTTCATATCATTTCCTTCTTGTTATTTTAGTTAACTTCATATTCTTCATTGAGGTGCATATCTTTGATGCATGTTTTACCTTCTCCTTTACTTAGAAGATGGGTTGAGATGTTGGTGTTGTTAAACCATGTAATATGATAGAAAAATTATACAGTGTGAATAATAGTTTCTTCTTCTAGAAATGTATCGTTCGACCAATTTTCAAATAACATATATTTAAGTTTATAAACTTAAGATAAAATAATTAATTACTTTGATAGAGATAAGTGAATTAGGGATGTTAAAAAAACTAAACTGAACTAAAAAAAAAAGAGTAGCTAATTGAACTATACTAAACTAAATAATAAAAAAATTGAACTATACTATTTTTTAATTCACTTTTTTAAAATTAAACTTCAAAATATTTCAGTACATTATCTAGACTGATGTAAGAATTCTGCATATAATATCTACTATCTGTTATTGTGATTAAACCTAATAATTATATTGTTACCATAAAAATGACTAGTTAGTTTATTTCCATGTAAAGACTAAATTAATTTATTATATACAATCTAAAATTGGAGGCTATAGATATTGCCCACTAAAGACAAAACATATTACTCCTGCTACTACTGCTAGAGGTAGATATTTCCAAGTTTGGAAGCTATTAATGGAGGGAAGATGTGGTTTAACTAGAATAGTATCTGAAACAGGTTTTGGTGGTCCTTACATAAGGAAAACTAACTCCACAGAAGTTGAAATATTGAAATAAACCAGCCAATGACGTCCTTTTGTTACCTAAACTAACAATAAACATGATTAATTTGAATGAAAATAATTTCATCTTTTTTGTTTGAACCAAACTATCTTATGAGTAGTTTTTATTGTTAATTGGTCAACAATCATTTAGGTGGAGTATACAGGTTAACTTCGTTGATAAAGTGGCCAGTTCAGGGGAGGATGGTAGTGTTGGTGTTTGAAGCTTGATTTCTGAATAAGCACTGCATCCGAACATTCACTTACCTGCCTGACATGTTGGTAAATCAATTTCTTATGTCATCCTCCCAAGAGGCTTAGGTCTGATTGCGTTATTTCCCATTACTACAAATAGGTAAGTTTGAATTGTTTTTAGGCTTAAAAGTTACCAAGGTTTTAACATTTTATGGTGACATTTTGTTATAAGCTGTGTTATTGTCCTGCTACTTGGTAAGATCACACTATCAGATATCTCTTAAAATAGTGTTCTTGGCCATAATACTTTAAAAGATATGCTCCCAACTAAGAATAAATAATTTAGCTTATGAATAATAAAATCTAGTTCAATTTGATGTTATTCTTTTTCAAGGGAGGAATATAACTATAAATCAGAGATAATCTGCAGTAATATGTTTGTTACAGGTGCTCCTTTGCTCTTTTAATGTCAAAGGTACACTGCTACTGGTATTTCTAACAGTTTGCATTAGCAGGAAAAATCTGACTCTTCATATTTCTGATTTCTTTCTTTATCTCTGAGATGATATAAGTTGGGCTTAAATATGTTTTTAATCTTTATATTTAGAATGAGTTTTTTTTTTAACAGAAAGCTATCCTAATATTTTAATTTTCATTAAACTAATTAAAATATATGGTTTGTCATTTTTATGTTTAATATTACATGTTAAAGGGTGATTATGACACAGCACACTATTATTTTTCTTCCATGGCAAAACTACACAATGAACCTCATAGCACAGGCACTTTCTTTCTTTACATCTAAACTATGCCATTGAAAATGTTGACTGATTTGGTTGAGTATAAGGCACAACTAATCTACTTTCCTGTTAAGCTCAACAACTTCATTATCATCTATGTCTCAACCACTCCAACACATTGTGTGTTCCCTCCTATATAACACTAAGACATGCATTGTACTTCACATCCTCTCATAAAACTCAATACCATATAGAAGAAATGGCATCTACCTACGAAACACTTGGAAATAAGATGCCTATGGGATCACTAACTGCAGCTTACCTTGCAATTTTGCTTGCCTGTGCAAATTTGGCAATAACTGTTGCAGCAGTTGACCCCATTGCAGCCACCGGGAAAGAACCTGTTATTGAGCTATACATGCACGACATTCTGGGGGGTAGTAACCCAACAGCTCGACCAGTGACCGGCTTGCTGGGAAGCATATACAGTGGTCAAGTACCGTTTGCAACGCCAGTAGGATTCAACACACCTCAAGGTGCGATTCCCATCCCCAATGCCAACGGTGCTAACCCCACTGTCAATGGAGTTTTTGGTATTCCACTAGGAACTGGATTGGCCGGTACTTCATTTGCACCAAACTCAGGTAACAACAACAACAACCAAAACATTGCCCAGCTGCAGTTAGGACCTGATGGACTGGGACTAGGCTTTGGTACAATAACTGTCATTGATGATATGCTGACCTCTCAACCTGAAGGAGGGTCCCAACTAGTTGGGAAGGCTCAAGGAGTATATGTGGCAAGTTCAGCTGATGGGACTAGACAGATGATGGTTTTTACAGCCCTGTTTGAAGGAGGGGAATATGGTGATAGCTTGAACTTTTATGGCCTGTATAAGATAGGAAGCACCATGTCAAGAATATCTGTGCTAGGGGGCACAGGGAAGTACAAGAATGCAAGGGGTTTTGCAGAACTGAGAGCTCTTATCCCACCGGGACAGATTTCCACTGATGGTGCAGAGACGCTGCTGAGGATCACTGTCTATTTGAAATACTAAAACTGGGTGCTGTTTGATCACTGATGACTGAGATTGGTCTTGTATATTGTCAGTTTGATACCGTTTGCAGAATGTATTTGAAATCCTAGTTGTGTTCCCAAGAAAAGATATGCTGATTTGCTTTTTCTTCTTTTTTTTACAGAAAATGATACACTATGGCGCTTTAAGTATTTGTGGTCGGATTTTTATTTTTTAATACAAGCAGTAGCAATAAATGCCTCAAACTCAGTCAATGGCAGTTTACAAGTAAAACTAAAAAATGAAGCAAATCAGTAATAAGCTATCATTGTGTTCTAAAGGCATTAGCATTGTATGGTGTCAACATAAGCTGCAAAGAAAAAAAAGAAAAAAAAGCAAAGCATGATGAAAGATAATCAAGAAAAATTCAGACAATGAAAGAGAGTTTACTGCATATGAATCTTGAAATGGAAGAAAATGTCACTTATTAGTTCATATTCATACACTAGTCTACCAGTTGACAATATGATTAACAACGCAGCAGGAGTTCATAAGCGTCTTCCACCAAATCAAATCCTATACACGAAACAAATTACTAGTTAAATCTGAACAGGAAAACCTATACATACAAAATGATGACCATACTACTGATAAAGGATTGAAATCGTGAGTTATTTTAAACCATATGAAGATTCTATCGTTACTAAGTAGCTACCAGTGATTGTTGTCATAGGGATCTCTGCTGCACCATGTCATCGAATTAACAATCCACATTCATCATGTTCAATCAATGGATACCATTGATAGGAAATCGAGAGATGTACGTGAAATTTTTTTCCTAGAAAATTATGGCACATAAGGATTTTATGATAATTACCATTTCGCATGCAGGATCTTCATATTTTTAACACAGACTGGTGATATTAACATGAGAATTCAAGGCAGCTTCATCAAGTCCATAGAGTGCATCAATCAAGTGCATTCGCAACGATGCTGGACCTTTGGCCATCTTCATTCCTAGCTCACCAGCGACGCCAAATACTGCTAATGCTGACACTGCCGCATCCAAAGCATGACTCTTGTCAACAGCAACAAAGGCAGCAATCAGTGCAGTGACTGAACACCCAGTTGCTGTTACTTTCTGCATCATGGCCACCCCATTGTGAGCACCAACAACTCGAATTCCATCCGTCACAATGTCAGTGGCTCCTGACACTGCAACTACGGCACCACTTGTCTGAGCTAAGAGCTTTGCTGCTTCAACTGCATCCATTGAATCGTGAACACTGTCCACACCCTTGACAATGGAGCTATATTACATAGCGTAATAACAATATTTTCAGATTTAAGGGAGATAAAAAATCGAAAATGTTTGGTTGAATTTTTAGTGAGACTCAAGCATCTCTTTCTTTTCCCTTTTTTTTTTCTTGAAGACACACTGGGCCACTAGTCATAACTCATTTACAACCATTATAATAATGTTTATTGCAAGAAAATCATTGGAAGAATAAGTAAAACATCAATTTAATCTACGAATCTGGTTCCACCGATCAATCCCTTGACAATATCTGGTATTAACATTGGACAAAGCAAATTTACCCATATGAGTTGTGAAAATTCAAGTACTATATTTTCTTTTTTATACCATTAGGGAATAAAATTGACCAATGGTGCCAATGTTTTTTGAGACCAAATTGATGTTTTACTCCCACAAAAAGGTTATTAGATAATCTATGAGAAACAGTCTATTAGAAATGCAGAGTGCACTAGTAAATTATCTCGTTCAGGCACAACAACAGCTTACCCTCGTGATTCAATCGCGGCTTCTAAATCCCAAAAATAATCACCCAGAAGAAACAATCACCCTCAAAACAAATCTCACGAACCCTTTCACCAGTTCCATTTTACATAAATCAAGTGATTATTTAGACGATTTGAAAATAAAGAACAATTATAATACATAATATTTGTAAAAATAAAGAATAGAATATTTTGTTTATGCTTACTTTTGAATATTTTTATAAATAATGAAGTTTAATATGTTTATTAATTCATATGACAAACTTTGAGCCAACAAAATTTGTCAATTGTTGTCTTTATAAATTAAAAAAAATGAAAATATAAAAATAGAGTTTAGTTTCCATGTACTGCAGTGTAAAAATTAACCATATCTACCAATAACAAATTACATAAATTATATCGATATATCGATTACTCAAATATGATATGGCACTCTGTTAGTGTCGATAAATTGTTAAGGTTTAATATACGATGATAAAAAGTGGGTTTCTTATATGAATAGCATTTTAAATTGTTTTAATATACATAAGATAAAATATCGAACTGATCTATTAAACTATTTTTTTATTATAATTATTTCCATTAACACTTTAATTTTTTTCTTTTAAAATTAAAATGTTATTATAAATATACAAAATATGTTTAAATTAATTGACTCACCGACTCATAAGGGCACAAAATAATGGTGTCAATTAAGTTACAACATTTTTTTACTTCTTATTCAAATTAAGTTGACTCGTTTGTACGCTCGTGATAAGTCACAAACGTATTTAAATCGTACTTCATTTTTAAAAATATTTTTTGTTATTTTAAGCTTAAAAATATTTCCTAGTCTCCAAATTTAAAAGACTTTTAAATCTTCCAATTTGAAAATAATTGACCGTAGTTAAAAATTTGTTAGTGTTTGAAATGTTTCTATTTGTTATTTTTTCCTCATTTTTCTCCTTTCCTTATAATTATTGTGGCTTGAGTTTGTATTGATACTACCACATCAATGTAGTTTCGTTTTATCTTCCATCTTTCTTGTTTTTGGTTACATTATACTAAAAAAATTCATTTAAGCCTTTATTTTAAAATTAAAATATAATGGATGAGCTATAACATATGACAATACAATTCTTGTTTTCCTTCCTACGTTTTAGCTTTTAAGTTTTAATAAAATTACTCTTAAAACGTTATTTAATAATTTAACTTTTGAAAATTTAAAATTATGATTAACCATATCTCCAAAATTGTTAGAAGAAAAAAAATGTTATTAACCACCTAAACCTATTCATGCTATAAATAAATTCTTTTAAATTAAAAATTCGACCTCTAATATTTAAGTTATGTCAATTCTAAATAATGAATCTACGTCAACTAAAACATTGTGTTTCAAAGATTCCTTTTAGATTTAAATATTTTCGATTTAGGAAATTAACATTTTAAATTTGAAAAGACTAAAAAAATATTCAAGTTTGAATAACTAAAATGACACATAATTTTCTACTATCTACTTCAATAATAATAATAATAATAATAATAATAATAATAATAATTTACTGTTATTTATTATTATTTTAAGAAATTCAATTGTTGTATTGATTAATTACCTTGGAAGCACTGGCGTTCGGTTCCGCGGAAGCGAGTGAGAGCGCGATGATCTCAGAGGCGTTTCCTCTGACGACGGTGGGCTTGAGACGGAGCAGTTCCCGGCAGGCTTCGAAGCGGAAGGCGGAGGCCGAGGCGGCGACGGGGTCCAGGACCCAGGGCGTGTGGACCGTGTTGCAGATTTGGGCGGCGGTCGTCATGGCGGGAAGCCAGGAGGGGGAGAGAGTGCCGACGTTGACGTAGAGGGCGGCGGCGCGGGGAGTGAAGTCAGGGAGCTCCTCGACGGCGTGGAGCATGGCGGGGGAGGCGCCGGCGGAGAGGAGGGTGTTGGCGACGATGTCCATGGAGACGAAGTTGGTGATGCATTGGATGAGAGGGGATTGAGCACGAACCAGAGAGAGAAGATGCCATGCCTTAGAACCCCATTGGGTTTGGTTAGAGTCCATTGACAAAGATAGAGAAGGTGTGTGGAAGAATTGAAGAAAAGGCAGAAATTACTACACAATACAAAATGTGAATAGGTGGTTTTCTCTTGAATGAACTAAAAGTCCAAGAGTCGTTTTTGTCTAATATTAAAAGAAATTAAAAATGATAAAAAAATAATAATAAATATTTAATTAACTCTTTTAACCCTATTTCGATTAAAAAACTCGTTCTGTAAACATTTTTAAATAATTTCTAATTTTATTTTGTTTTTATAGGATGAAGTAGATAAATTATTTAAAAAACGTCTCAAAATAAAAAATATATTTATTTTATTTTTTAAACGTAAAATATATTTACATTATTTTTAGCCAATAAATTATACATGTGTTAACATTTTTCAAATCATAACATTATTTCATGAGAAAATTGTGAGTTGACATAGGGTTAAACCAAAAAGTATTTTAAACAAAAATACTTTTAACAAAAATTTAGTTAAATTTATAAAATATTAATATTTATTTAAATCAATAAATTACAAATGGTTACATAAGTTTTTGAGAGAATTTTAGGGATAGTAATGTGAAGCAGTCATACGAGCTGATCCAGAAGTCCGCAAGAAAATACACTAGACAAATTGAATATTTTAGTTCAGGAGTTTTTTTAGGCCTTTAAAAACTTATAAAAGGGTGTTTTAGAATTGATAATGATTAAAAATAATAATATTTGATTATTTTAATATTAAAATATTTTAGTATAAATAATTTTTTATAAATAAGTTCCATTATTTTAAAACATAATATTTTTAGAAATCACTTTTCTAAAGTTTTATGATTTCTCTTTAAGAGTTCTTATTTTCGGTTCATTTGTTTAAAGATATGATATTTCTTCGTTAGATTTTTGCTCCTTTTCTCTCGATCCAATCTATTTTGTCTTTGCATTTAATTATACTTTTGGTTGCATGTGTCGTTTAAGTCATCAATACGAGTCTTTGTTGACTAATGATCATAATGGTATGTCTTGATCGTTCTTATAATGTTTTTATGTGTACAAAGAACATTATGTAGAGTTAGATGTGTTTTAAAGTCGTTTGAGCCGAGTCACAGGTGGAGAAAGCTAATTACACTATTTTTAAGCTCTAAATATGTTAAAATTGCTAATTGTATGATTGTACTATGAATTACCTAAATGATTGAGTTATGTGATGAATATGACCCGTTTAAATGAGATTAAGTTTATAAATTTAGTTAATTAAACTTGTATGATGGAATTTGGGAATATTGTCTAAATGGTATAGCAAATGGGATGAATTTAGTTTGTGAATGTTGTGTAATTCGAATTTGGTGACTCTGTATGTGGTATTGATAGGGTTGAAATAACATAAATTTGCATAATTATGTTCTACAAAATTATGCAGATTTGTTGGGCGAGGAATTGTGTCGTTGGTGAGGCCAAGGCCAGGAGTCACTGACTTGATAGTTGCTAAGCAAGAATATTCTCGCTAAGTGACTTTAAAGTTATAGAGTTCATTGACTTTGTGGGTGCTGAACATGACAACTTTTTGCTGGAAGAATTATGAGTGATTTAATCTCTAAGTTCCAGAGCTTGTGTCGCTAATCGAGTGGCCTTCAAGCACTACTCGTTATGCAAGTGGATGATCTCATTAACCGAGATTAATAGAATTATTCAATCTTCTATGTTCATTGTTTTGTATATTTAATGTAATCTTATAAGTTGTTAAAAGAATTATTTGTATGTGATATGTGTGAAGATGGTTGATACTCATCCATAAAAGAATTAAAATTTGGTTTCATTATGTATTAACATGAGAGTTCAAATGTTGGAGATTGTCCTGACACTCTAATAATCATTTAGGCTCAAGTATAGTAGAATTGAGTATGTGGTGAGAGGTGTAGAAAGTCCTAATTTAGGGGTTTTATCTTGGCCATAAAGATGTTAATAGACTGACATTGTGTATGGTAAGGTGAAACTCATTGGCCATCACAACTACAAGACCCCACAAGATTCAACATCCATGTCTGTATTTGGATAATTGAGATTTTTATAGTATTTTCTTGTGAAATTTTTGTATTGATGAATGATTGATAAAATTTTATAACTTAAATTATATGTTTTATGTAGATACTCTTTTTGTAAATTAGTTTACCTTTTTTGTTTGTTTGTATGTTGTATGTTGTGATTTTCTTTTTGTAATGATTACTTTATTGGTATAAGGAGAAGAAGATGTAAGTGTAGAAACACTTCTTATTGTTGAGGAGTCAGTTGTTTGGACGATTAACGATATTAGATATTGTTAAGTATAGTCTTATAATAAAATTATAGTATAGTAGCTTAAGAATATATATATATATATATATATATATATATATATATATATATATATATATATATGATATTATTGTAGTTCTAATAAGACTGTATTAATATATTATATACATTGAATTATTTGTTTTCTTAAGATTCATAATAAAATATTTTATTTTAATAGTTAAATGTTATTAAAATGAAATATTACAAGAGAGACCATAACCTACAGTTCTTATTGGCCAACGACGAAGTAACCTGGATAACTCATATTACTTAAATTTGTAAAATATAGCAACTCTAACATACGTTGTGTGTTTCTCCAAAATTAGTTTGTTCATTTACATTCAGTCCATAAAAAATAGTTTCTTTATTCACATTTCTTTTACACAATTCTTGTATATTTCTTCTTCTCAACGCCTATCCATTTTTATTAAAGTTATTATTAAGAATGAATTATCCTAATTTTACAATAAGAAATTACATAGACCGTTAAATTTTTTATTAATAAAACTTAATGTGAAATTAATGATTTAAATTAAATTTATATTCACATGCACTTACATTGTTGATATTATTATTAATATTTAAGAAAATGTAAATCTGACTTAAATTAATAATAATCAACAGACTTTTAATTTATTATAAAATAATTTAAATCAACATTTTAATGTTTAAAAATATCTAGCAATATTTTAAAAAAATTTATATTAATTTTACCACAACATAATTTTAAAATAATTAATCATTATTAGTATTACTCTTAATTATATTTTGTATCATTTTTAATATTATCTTAAACTCAAGTAAATATTAATAATCGTAATCATAATCACATATTAAAAATATTTTTTAATAATTATAAATTTTATATATAATTCTTTATTCTATATTAAATTCTAGTTATTAGCTAAATTAATTAATTTTTATATTTATTTTTCCTACAAAATTAAAGTAAGAATAAATTAGGTGAAAATTCAATTTTTGAAAAAATATATTCCAATTGATTTTTGTTAACGGTACTACAATGATGGGAGAAACCGATCCTGGAGCCCTATTTCTAAAATGGCACAATGACTAGGCCTATTTAAGTAAATATTTTGGCAATGAGTTTATTTGAGTAACTTTTTAAAAATAGTATCTGAAAAAAAAAATTGAAGTTAAATCAAATGATTTTGTTATTATCAGAAGCATAACATGATATATACTGTTCAAGAGATATTATACTTTTGAATAATAAAAAATTAATAGAAAGATATTTTAAGTATTAATATGTAAGATAAATTACAAAATTTTAAAAATTAAAGTATGCACCCTCTTAACACCATGAAGAGTGTTTACCGAAAAATAACTTTTCCTTTTCCTTTAGTTTCTACAATGGTTTTTACTCATTTTATATATATATCATTGATAAAATATTAAATCTACATAAAAACAAATGAAAAATATATAGAAATTAAAATAAACGGATCGGCAAAAGAGGTCCATGTGCAGTTTTAACTTGAATACAGAAGTTACCACATATCAGAAAGATGCAGACCCATTAGTTAGAAACATACCTTAATACATTACATACATCACTGGCATAGATAGTTATCATGCTAAAGAGTTCTTAACACAGTCAAAAACACCACAGGTGTTTGACTAAAACGTTAACCCTCTTAAAGTCAGAAACTTTTCTTGTATCTCAGCTACACGTCGGACATTGTTGGCTTTCCTCATATCCCATTTTGATTTCTGGGATATTCCATACTGAATCTCATGAACAAGGGTTGAAATCGAGTCGGTAACGTTTGATAGCTCAGAACTGATCTTATCTTTATCCTTCTGCATGGTTTCAAGGGCACCAGATATCCTTTTCCGTTTTGCTTCAAGTTGCCGAATTTGATCATCAATTTCTGTGATAGATAAAGCACTTATGTCCATTTCAGCCTCTCTCTCAGACATTTTTTCCTTCAAATCGTTGTACTTTTTTTTGAGACTGGGAATTCTGAGTTTCTTTGCCATTAGCTCAGCCATGACTTTGTCTACCTCTTCGATGCTCTCCTTGGCCTCAAGGAAGGCCTCAGCAGCCAAGGGAACTTGTTCCACCAATTTTAACTTGAACAGTTGATCAACGGTGAGATTGGGATCTTCACGAATTTGCGATGCAAGTATTGCAACTTCTGCAACATCATTGCTTGAGACCAATGAAGGGAAATCTAGAGCAAGAAGGGAAGAAAGCTTCTTCTTGCAAGACTCTATCGATTCAATATCTGCATTAGTAGGGTGATCCGATGCTGTCGTTTCAGTAAGAGGTATATCAAGCATGTCCTCCAAGTTATCAAGATAACTATCGAAATTTGCAACTTGTAGAGGTGTTACAAGGGAGCCGACAGGAACTAGGGCGAACCGTTTCTTAGACTGGCGACCGCTACTTTTAGTCGGGCCACCACTATTTTTAGTCAGGCCACCGCTACTTTCAGTTTTCCGTTTTGACTTTCTCAGGGTGCCAGTATCATCATCTTGTACTGTCTCTGGTGATTGTAAGGTTAGAAGGCCATATACATCGGAATAAGAAAAACGCATAAGATGGAGGGGCAACAAAAGTTGCAAAGGTACGAGTTAGAAGTCAAGTTACTACGTAGCAAATAAGAGGATAATGACTTATTTCACAAACTTCAGAGCAAAAAGATTCTTGCTTTGCTCCTTTCTAGCAAATAAGAAGATCCCAACTCATCTCATCAATTAGAAAAACAACTGACCCACCACACAAAAAGAAAAAACAGAGGAAATATACAAAACATGAGCCATCACTGGCCTCTTAGTAGTACTTACCCTCACACAAGGAGAAGCATGAAGGAAGAAAGTCCACCATCAAATAATAAAAGTCGTGAACCATTTTGGTGTAGGGGCTCGTGATACTCATGGAGGAAAAGTATCAACTATGACTAAGTAAACTGAGACAAATAGAAGGGCTTTTATGCAGGAAAAAATAATTGAAATACTTAGACTACAGCCAATGGAAACAATACCAAAATAAAAACAATTAAAAAAACCGGGCTAAGATGAATGAAAAAATAACAGAACAGGGTTGAAAAAGAAAATTGTAAAACTGTTTTGAGCTAACCTTTTGTGGGGGTTTGCTCAGCTGAGGGAATCAGCCAGGTAAACAAAGCAAAGAATGCTTCAGTTCTCATGTCAGGAAAATTTGAGTGAAGATATCTACTGACAGCAGTCTTGCTTGAAAACTCTAGCCTGCGAGAACCCTTCCGAAGAGATGCTGGGGGGATAAGGTATCTGTCGGTAAAATATCCACCCTTGGCAGTCCTTGCCGCCACTCTCCAGCCCCATACATCACCAGCATTAGGCCACCCTTCAGGTGCATATGGCAAACCTTTACCAGAAGAGTAAGATGGCACAGGTTGAAGATCAGAGGTTTTATCATTTGTCACATCCTTATAAGCATTGCTGCCAATTGCAGAGTCATTCTTCAAGGATTCTTTTTCATCCTTAAAACTGCAATAACAAAAGACAATCTCAACTGCTCAAGAGTCCATACAAACACACACAGCTGCTTACTTTTTCCTGTATATTAGCACTGTATAAATGTTTATGTACTCGTGCGTGTAGAATAATGAAATTCCCTAAAACTTAATCTTACTACTGAAGTACTCCATTGTGCAAATGTAAGTCAACTAGTGTGAAGATGATCACAAAACTATTGTGAGTTACAAAGATTGTAAGGGTAAGACCTTCATTGAATATTTACATATCACACAACTTGACATTACTGTCAACAACTGAGAAATCAACAAGGAAAACAACAAATAATCAATAACTAAGAAGAAATGTGACTGAAATTAGTTTATTTTGAGGTTTTGCTTGAATAAACTTTACAAGTTTGTACATAAATTAGAAATCATCTTTTACTGAAACATGTCAAGAAGAGTTTTTGAGAATTTTCTGTCAGAAAAATAAAAACTATATTTTCAGTAAAGATCTCTTGACTTCTCTAATTTGCATGCAGCTCCGGGTCTCTTATATTAGCTTTTTTTTCTTTCTTTCTAAAAGCTGGTTTTAAGCTTTATAAAATAAATGTTTAACTTCCTTCCAAGGTTAAAAGAAACAAACATTTCCATTTTTCTCTGGGCATTTTTGGACAAGTTTAACAGAAGTACTCCCAAGAGAGAAAAATAAGAAATGAAATGAATATGCAGATGATAAAAAATAAAAATAAACATATCACATGCATTTTGTTTTTCTGATTTTCTCTTCTTCCAGAAGTTTGTCTAAATCATACCATTTATTCTCTTCTCTAACAACGGCTTGTGATCCTAAGACATATATCCAAACATAACATAAATAAAAAGCCATGCATGGCTTCTCTGATCAGTAGTCTATTCAACCTTCTTCATATTTCATAACTGCATACATTCTTTAGCAGTTAGAAAAACAAGAGCAAGCAACCCAAAATAAAAAAGATGATCTTTTTCCAAAGGAGAATGAAAATAATGACACATTAACAAGTGTCACAGCAGAAAAGAGAAAAAGGGATGAAAAATAACCTCGCTGGGGTGACAGTTTCATCTGAGAGATCCATTGATGAAAGAGAAAAAGGTGGTCAATTAATTGAGACAAACACGCAGAAATTGGAAATGTCAGAACTAAGGGAATTGGAGGGCACACATCATCGGAACATGAAAGGGAAAAATACCGGCAAACCGTGGCCGTAGCTGGAGACAGTGTCAGGGAGTTTGAGGAGAACCATTTGGGATGAAAAGATATGCTTCAGTAATCAATGTTCACGTAGAAAAGAGACTAAGCGCATCTCGAGGTTTTAAATATATTTAATTATATAATTAAATTATAAAAAATAAAATAAAAGTAGAGAAATTATAAAAAATATGATTTTTATTAGATTTTAAGATTAATGTGTCAATAGGTCCCTATTTTCATCCGGAATTGCAAATAGGTCCCTTTCTTTTTCGGCATCTCAATTCAGTCTTTATTTTTGTAAAATTGGACCAAATAGGACCTTTCCGTCAAATTGAAATGACGCCGTTGAACCTCCACTGCAGTGAAATGTCTTAACGGCGTCATTTCAATTTGACGGAAAGGTTCTATTTGATTCAATTTTACAAAAATAAGGACTCAATTGAGATGCTGAAAAAGAAAGGAACCTATTTGAAATTTTGGGTGAAAATAAGATATTGAAACATTAAACCTATATTTTATTATTCAAATAAATTTATTAGAATATCTTAAAGTGTATACCATCTAATATAAAAGATGCTCTAAAATACTATAAATTAATTAATGCTCAGTTCTTATCTTATTTTTTTTTCTTGTGCAAACAAAATTTTTTATTTTTTGTTTTTTCTTTGTAAACAAAATTTGGCTTAGACTTATTCCTCAGTATTATTGCTTTTTCACTGCATATTTCTAGTGAGTTTTTATTATTAGATAGTGTGATAAAGGTATATTCAACATAATATATAAATATGAATAGAAAAAAGCATTCATATTATTAGTAGGTGAAATTCATATTATATGAATTTCAGTCTATTAGTAGGTGAAATTCTCTCATCTATGATTTTTTATTTTTAGTTTATTTTCTATTAAATAATTACAATTATAATATACAAATTTATTATTATAATTCTATAAAAAAATCGCTTCTAGTTATTAAAAAAATTTGTATACTTTCTTCTTCTTTCAATTCAAAAAAAGACCTTACGGAACGGAAAAATGGAATCCTCTGAGATGAGATAGGTTGAGAAAGCGCGTTAATATCCTGTTGAGAAGTCATCTTGCCATTAAGATAAGGATCTCAATCAAAGAATATGAGGAATGATTGTCAGTAGTCAAGAGGTTTTGGTAATCTCACACGATGTGGCAAGGATATTGGTGTGATTCAATATCCAATTTCCAGTCCTAAAGGGCTCAAATCCTATGACGCCTTCCGCGTTTAAGGGTGGATAACTGAAATGAATAGTCTTGGACTCCCTTTTTTTTTAAATCCAACTGATACGGGATTTAAGAAACAAAATGTCCTCTTCCCCCAGAGTTCAATGTGTTAGGCGGAATCGTATATGAGGCAAGGTTTTTCTCCCTGAACCTCTTTTTTTCCCACTAATCAGCCGGGACATAGTCAAGGAGGGGAACTGCAAGTAAAGTAAGCACATATGTCATTCTCTTCCTCTTATCTAGCTAACCCTCTTTTTTTTGTTTTGAAAGGCTTTCATTCAGGTTGTGTTGTCCTCCCTCCGGTCGCCTTGATGAATATCATTTTTGACAGGAATTTTTGGTTATACCCGGTATTCCCCCCTAACTCGATCTAAACCTGAAGTCTAGTAATGACATATTCACTCTGAAACTGTTATCTACGTGAAAACAGACTATCTTTGTCTTATGCTATCTACGAATATCATCATAGGTAAGTCAGAAGATTGTGTAACGATTCAATAGAATTATCTCCCATAAGTATGCTTTGTTGAATATCTGGTCGATCTTCTTTCCTGATCTCAACCCGCTCATTGGTACTGAGGGTATTATTCTCACCCTTTTATTTACGGAATGCTTTCTAAAGAACTGATCAGAGGTACGACAGAGGAAGGGCTATTCTGACCAGATTTATGCGGATTGGATTCTCCGGTTTTTGCAAGAATATGATGTTTGGAAAAAGACGGTCTTTGACAGGAATAGCCTTCACTGCCTTTCCTCTTTCTTTGCTGCATCTGAGATTACCGCCCCGTGGGTCCTATTCAAAGCATCGAGCTTGGTAGCGAGCCTCTTGTCCTTATCCCTGTCTACTTCAAATGGCTTAGAGAAAGGTCCCTTTTTCTTTTCGCATCTCGAATGCTTAGGAGTCTCCTTCTCGGCTTTAGAAGGACCGAAGGTTGGACTACGTTTAGGGATTGGGATTACTCTTTGTTCTCAGCCGCTAAAGGAAGAAGGATCTCTATCTCTGATCCAGTGGATGCTTGAAAGTGAGGTAAGCCGTGCTTTTCGGTAAGGGTTAATTCGAAGATCTTAGTGAATAGGGCACAGGACATGGATCTCCTTGATCGAACTTTGAGCCACCCTGGACTTTGGGCAGGCCCCGGTTCCTAGGGTTAGAGTATTCCCTATTATAATAGAAGCCTACTCATATCAGAACTAAACTAGTTGATTCGTGTTTCTGCTGAAAGGAACCAAGGGAAACTCCTGCTGCTCCCGTTTGGAAATGCTCCTCTACTGCCGACCGATCCTTCTCCTTCACTCCGGAATCCTTTCTCAATGTCAAAGTGGGGTGACCTGCATGAAACACTCCGACGCTCAAGTCAGAAATTATCCTGGCAAGTCTAATGAAAATCAATCAGAATCAGAGAGAGATTACCTTCTCTATCGTTTGTTATTTATACGGTTTCAAAGAATCTTACTCATTAATTTACCTCTTAATGACGATCAATGCCCACCTTAACTGCCCGACACTAACCGTTACACCATTAATTACGCATTCATGGTTATTCAAAAGCTGTCTCCAGCCACCGGCTAGGAAGTTTCTATCACCTTCATGGGACCGATCGGTCCCATTGGTCGGTCAACTCCGCGTGCTCTCATGTGCCCGATCGGCTGACCATACTCGGTAGTAACACAAGTCCCCCAAGCCCTAGCAATATTTTTGCGTAGGGTTTTGAAATGGACTCCGATCGGTTTGCATCTTCCCTTATGCTGGCAATTCTGGCAAGAGTAAAACCTGGCAATCACGATTGTAAAATTTTTAAGCGGGAAAGTGAAAAATGAATCGTCAGGTCGCCTAAACCGTTGGATCTCCCCGCGAATGAACCGTCAGGTCGTCCAGACCGTCAGATCTTTTGACGTTTGACGCTTCAGATTCGATTGGTACACAGCCTTTTACCCTCTATAAATAGCGCCATCTTTACCCTAGCTTTTTACGCTCTTCCCCTCACCATCACTGCTGTCTTCCGCCTTAAGTTTGCTACCATCCTTCTCACCTTTATCCTCAGGTAACCATGTCTTCCGACCTCTCCGGCGAAGAGGGCAGGGGGTATGCCGACGACGATGTTAACAGTCCATCTTCTTCTTTGGGTGCCATTCCGGGGCAAGGTGCCACGACTTCTCCCTCTGGGAATTCCTCCGATCTTCTAAAGGATAGCGACGCTCCGGAGGAGGTCGCCATTAACGTAAACTCTACCGACGCTTGGGACGGGAAACCCAGAGTTTGGCCGGTCGTCCCTGGCTACGATTGGGCTCCTCACGAGGTTAGACAGATTTCTTCCTCCTTCCATCATCGCCGCCCATTTAAGGATTTAATGGGCAGTATCTCTTTGGTCAAGGCGGCTGAAGATGCCGCGCATTTTAAACTGGCCGTCTGCCAAATGACCGAGCGGGTCTGCCACGGTCGGGGTAATTACCCTACCGACTTCTTTTACGTTTACGCTACCATGTTTAAGGACCTGAAGGTTCTTCTGCCGTTCTTGGACTTCCAAATGAGCATACTGAGGACGCTCAATGTGGCTCCTACGCAGCTGCACCCGAACGATTGGGCCTTCATGCAAGCGTTCTCGGCTATTTGTACTGGCTTAGCACTTCGCCCCACGCCCGCAGCTTTCCTTTACTTCTTTCATGTACAGCCTCACCCCTCCAAACCGTGGGTTTCCCTACGCATCATCGGGAACAGACACCTGTTGACACTCTTCAACAGCTCATACAAGGACTTTAAAGGGCATTTCTTTAAAGTCGTGCCTTTGGAAACGGGGTACCAAAGCTTCTGCTTCCCGAACCAAGAAGCTAAATTTCCCTTCTACTGGACCCGAGATCCGAAGAGGGTCATCTCATGGCCTAGGCCCCGGATGACACCCGAAGACCTGGACTTGATAAATCAATTATGCCAGCTATTTTCCTGGGCCACAAAAACCTTCCCTCTAACGTGTTCGGTAAGCTATTTTCGACCGTCTTTCGTTGAGCAACCATTTGTACTTATCTAAATTTGTTTTTTTCGTGCAGATTATCTGTCTAGAATGGATCCATCTAGAAGCAGCACCTTCGCTCGTCTGTTCGCTCAGAGGGGAGGCGATGTAAGGAAAACAGGAGGAAGCTCCTCCGGTGCTCTGAACGCTGCCGCCATTCCCGCAGCATCCCTACCTGTCCAGAAGGCGCCACCTCCATCTTCTGTTGACATTCCTCCGCCCAGCTCCCCTCGCCGCTCGATTGCCAAGACTCTTGAACCGGAGTCCCTCCCCAAGAAGAAGGGCAAACGAAAGGCCGCTCGGGAGTCCTGCGCTGAACCCCAACGCGCCAAGAGGATCCTACCCAACGGTCCTCCGCTTGCTGGGCCGTTGAGCCCAAACACGTGGTTGGCGAAACGCATCCACTTCGATCTCCTTGCTGAAGAACATGCCTTGGTCAGCGGGATGACCGAGGAGGAGGCCTCTGACATGGCCATGGAGCTGTCTGCTCGGTCAGCCATGTGCCTGGCCTACGCCGCCCGGAAGAGAGCCTCGGCTTCCACAGAGCTTCAAGCTCTTCAAGAGAGGTTCGACGCTGCTGTCAAGGCCAACCAAGACTTGACTCTTTGTTTGGCCGAGACCGAACGGATAGCAGAGGAAGACAAGAAGAAGGCCAGCACTATGTTGGCGGAGGCCCGTGCTACCTAGCGCCGCATGCAACGGTCCCTGGACGACACCAAGCTAGACCTCCAAAAAGCCGCTGCTGCCAACACCAAGCTGACGGCCGAGCGGGATTCTCTACAAGATCAGGTGACGAAACTGGAGGTGGATAACAAACTTCTGGGCGACAAAGTGGTGAATGAGCATCTGCTCGGGTTTGACAAAGCACTCGCCTAGTGCAACCTCCTCTTCCAAGTTCCCACCAACGATCCCCGTCTCGACGTAAGCATGATGGTGATGGAAGATAAACTGGTTCCCATTCATGCTCCTCCACCTTCATCTCCGGCCGTCCCCAACGTTGAAGCTACCGCTGAAGTAGTGCCAGAGACCGACGGGGCTAATGTGCAGCCCTAGGTCTTAGACATAGGATTTTACCGCTTTTTCTCTATCTTATAATGCACTTTCTCTTGAAATGAATATATGTCTTTTGAACGCATTTTCCCTCTTTCACACTTGATCATGTCTATGAATAGTCCATTTTTGCTGCTCGGTTTAGGTCTTAGGAGCTCTCTAGAAGCGTGCCCTAAGACCAAGGTGAGAGTTCACGAAAGAAATCTGCCTCACCCGCTCGGTTTAGGTCTTAGGAGCTCTCTAGAAGCGTGCCCTAAGACCAAGGTGAGAGTTCACGAAAGAAATCTGCCTCACCCGCTCGGTTTAGGTCTTAGGAGCTCTCTAGAAGCGTGCCCTAAGACCAAGGTGAGAGTTCACGAAAGAAATCTGCCTCACCCGCTCGGTTTAGGTCTTAGGAGCTCTCTAGAAGCGTGCCCTAAGACCAAGGTGAGAGTTCACGAAAGAAATCTGCCTCACCCGCTCGGTTTAGGTCTTAGGAGCTCTCTAGAAGCGTGCCCTAAGACCAAGGTGAGAGTTCACGAAAGAAATCTGCCTCACCCGCTCGGTTTAGGTCTTAGGAGCTCTCTAGAAGCGTGCCCTAAGACCAAGGTGAGAGTTCACGAAAGAAATCTGCCTCACCCGCTCGGTTTAGGTCTTAGGAGCTCTCTAGAAGCGTGCCCTAAGACCAAGGTGAGAGTTCACGAAAGAAATCTGCCTCACCCGCTCGGTTTAGGTCTTAGGAGCTCTCTAGAAGCGTGCCCTAAGACCAAGGTGAGAGTTCACGAAAGAAATCTGCCTCACCCGCTCGGTTTAGGTCTTAGGAGCTCTCTAGAAGCGTGCCCTAAGACCAAGGTGAGAGTTCACGAAAGAAATCTGCCTCACCCGCTCGGTTTAGGTCTTAGGAGCTCTCTAGAAGCGTGCCCTAAGACCAAGGTGAGAGTTCACGAAAGAAATCTGCCTCACCCGCTCGGTTTAGGTCTTAGGAGCTCTCTAGAAGCGTGCCCTAAGACCAAGGTGAGAGTTCACGAAAGAAATCTGCCTCACCCGCTCGGTTTAGGTCTTAGGAGCTCTCTAGAAGCGTGCCCTAAGACCAAGGTGAGAGTTCACAAAAGAAATCTGCCTCACCCGCTCGGTTTAGGTCTTAGGAGCTCTCTAGAAGCGTGCCCTAAGACCAAGGTGAGAGTTCACAAAAGAAATCTGCCTCACCCGCTCGGTTTAGGTCTTAGGAGCTCTCTAGAAGCGTGCCCTAAGACCAAGGTGAGAGTTCACAAAAGAAATCTGCCTCACCCGCTCGGTTTAGGTCTTAGGAGCTCTTTAGAAGCGTGCCCTAAGACCAAGGTGAGAGTTCGCAAAAGAAATCTGCCTCTTCCGCTCGGTTTAGGTCTTAGGAGCTCTCTAGAAGTGTGCCTTAAGACCAAGGTGAGAGTTCACAAAAGAAATCTGCCTCACCCACTCGGTTTAGGTCTTAGGAGCTCTCTAGAAGCGTGCCCTAAGACCAAGGTGAGAGTTCACAAAAGAAATCTGCCTCACCCGCTCGGTTTAGGTCTTAGGAGCTCTTTAGAAGCGTGCCCTAAGACCAAGGTGAGAGTTCGCAAAAGAAATCTGCCTCTTCCGCTCGGTTTAGGTCTTAGGAGCTCTCTAGAAGTGTGCCTTAAGACCAAGGTGAGAGTTCACAAAAGAAATCTGCCTCACCCACTCGGTTTAGGTCTTAGGAGCTCTCTAGAAGCGTGCCCTAAGACCAAGGTGAGAGTTCACAAAAGAAATCTGCCTCACCCGCTCGGTTTAGGTCTTAGGAGCTCTTTAGAAGCGTGCCCTAAGACCAAGGTGAGAGTTCGCAAAAGAAATCTGCCTCTTCCGCTCGGTTTAGGTCTTAGGAGCTCTCTAGAAGTGTGCCTTAAGACCAAGGTGAGAGTTCACAAAAGAAATCTGCCTCACCCGCTCGGTTTAGGTCTTAGGAGCTCTCTAGAAGCGTGCCCTAAGACCAAGGTGAGAGTTCACAAAAGAAATCTGCCCCACCTGCTCGGCTGTTAAGACATGATGAAGATTTCACGTGATAAACATAATATTATTGATATGGAAAAATAAGTACAAAACTTTAAGCTGAAATAAAATTTTAAGTGGGATGCGTTCCATGTGTTGGGTATAGCCTTTCCCGTCGGATGCTCCAGACGATATGCTCCATTTTGTAAGTTTTCCACCATCCTAAAGGGGCCTTCCCAATTCGCGGCTAATTTTCCCGTCGATCGGTTTCGTTTGGCTTCGGCTGTTTTTCTCCACACGAGGTCTCCCTCAACAAATTGTCGAGGTCTGACCTTGGTGTTGTAACGTGTCGCAAGAAGCCTTTTTTGAGCCTCCGCTCGGATCGTTGCCACCTCTCTTCGCTCATCCAAGGTGTCCAGCTCTACTCGAAGCACATTATTGTTATCTTGCAGACTCTGAATTCCCCTCCGCACGGTAGGTTCCCCTACTTCTACTGGTAACATTGTGTCTATTCCATACGTAAGGTTGAACGGGGTTTCCCCCGTTGTACCATGCGGTGTGCAGCGGTATCCCCAAAGGACTTCCTGCAGTTCATCCACCCAGGCTCCTTTGGCATCTCCCAACCTTTTCTTCAACTCCGCAACAATGACTTTGTTGGCCGCTTCCACTTGGTTGTTCGTCTATGGGTGCTCTACCGAGCTCGTGACATGCTTAATTCCCAGTTTTTCATAGAACTCCCTTAATCGTTTGTCGACGAATTGCCGCCCGTTGTCCGTAATTATGGTCTTGGGGAATCCATCGGCATATGAGCGTCCATACAAACTTTTGAACCCTCGCCGCCGTGATCGTTGCGAGCGGCTCCGCCTCTATCCACTTGGTGAAATAATCAATGGCTACCAACAAGAATTTCTTCTGAGCTCGACCCACTGGAAAGGGACCCACTATATCCATCCCCCACTGCGCGAACGGCCACGGAGACATCAAACTGTGTAACTCTACCGGTGGTAGGTTGAGGTTTTTGCCGTGCTCTTGACACTTCAAACACCTCTGTACAAACATCCTGCAGTCTTTTTCCACCGTCGGCCAGAAATAGCTCGCTCTTATCACCTTAGCGCGCAAAGATTGTTGTCCTGTGTGCATTCCACACGCCCCTTCGTGTAGCTCCCTCATCACATACTCAGCTTCCTTCGCGGATACACATTTCAACAAGGGTGAGGAGAATCCTCTCTTATACAGATCCTCTCCTATTACTAAAAACCGAGCGGCCTTCTTTGCTTCAACCGCTCGGATGTGTGAACCGCTCTCTTTCCTCTGAATAATTTCTCTTATGGCCTTCCTCCAATCAGGTTCACTGGAAACCTCGTGAACCGCCAAGCACTCCACCGAAGGATTCATCATAACTTGCCTTATAACCGACGATAAGTGATCCTTTCCTCTACAATTGGCGAGTTTGGATAAAACGTCCGCCCTTACATTTTGCTCTCTTGGTACATGCTTGAATTCCACCATACGGAACTGCTTCACTAACTCCTTTACCTTATGATAATATCGAAGCAGCTGATCATTTTTGGTTTGGAAGCTCTCAGTTAGTTGACCCACCACGAATTGGGAGTCCGTTCGGCATTTGACCGAAGCCGCCCCTAAGTCTTTGGCCAGCTCGAGCCCGGCTATTACTGCTTCGTACTCGGCTTGATTATTACTTATTTTGAACCGAAAGACGATTGCCTGTTCAACAACAAAGCCATCCGGTCCCTCCAACACAATTCCTGCGCCTCCCCCGGACCGCTCGGAAGAGCCATCCACGTAAAGGGTCCACTCTCGGGGGCATTCTTCCTCCCAAGGTAATTCGACCGCAAAGTCAGCCAAATGTTGTCCTCGGATTGACCCTCGTGGTTCGAATTGTAGCCCGAATTCAGACAACTCCACGGACCATCCTACCATCCTCCCGGCCAGGTTGGGTTTGCACAAGATTTTCGCGATCGGGTGATCTGTTCTCACTATCACCTGATGACTTTGGAAGTACGACCTTGGGCACCGCGCTGCCATCACTAGGGCCAAAGCGATCTTCTCGACTCGCTTGTACCTTGTTTCCGCGAGCTGCAACGTTCTGCTAACGAAGTACACGAGTTTAAACTCAGGTTGCTCTTGCACCAAAGCCAAGCTGACCGTGTCCTCCGAGATCGCCAAGAACAACTACAACGCATGCGCTGAATCAGGTCGTCCCATGATCTGTGGGCTGACCAGTATGCCTTTTAACCATAATGATAAGATTTGTTATAATTATTTTTTGACATTTGGAAACAAGGATTAAATGTATTTTTAATTAATAAATTTTAACACTAAATTAAATTTTTTAATTTAATATTAATTTTTGACATGTCTTTTTAAGATCTTCATGTATTTTTCTAAGTATATCCATATAAAAAAACTAGTTTACATAATAAAATTTTATCAAATTTTCTTTACTAAATGAACTATCAAATGAATCATAATATCAAAAAATGAGATAAAAAATACATTTTCAATTGACACAAAATGTGATTGTCTCATTTTACAAATCATGTAACACTTGAAGGTTGATAACTTTATTACATATGGCATTAAAGAACAAACTCAAATGTGTTAGAACACTTTTAACAAGTACATGACTCAAATAACTATTGGTAAAAATTGTTGCATAGCACATGACAATTGTGAGACTTAAATAAACTAACTCTAAATCTTGTATAGAAACAAGACTACTACTATTTGAAGAGTAACCGTGTGGAACTTTCACAGTACTTAAACACTAACAAAAACTTTGCTTTTCTTTCTTAGAAAAAGTGTGATAGGTTGGAGTGGGTAAATGCGTCTACCAATTGATTGGGGATATAACTTAGAAAGAATGTCCATGTAAGCCAAATCTTGTTATATTTTTACTCCATCTTTTGTCTTTCCTTTTACATTTAGTAGAGTCTCACTTACATTGTCACATAAATTTTTTCCAATGTGCATCACATTTATATAATGTCTTACATCAAGTTTACCCAAATATGTAAGATTATAAAATATTGATTGTTTCTTCCAAATGTTTTTATCAGTGGTTTTCTTCTTTGGTGTTTTTTGAACACAATGTCAATGTTTTTCACTTAGTTGTATACTTCTTCACCATTACGGGTCTTGATACAACTTCATCTTAAGGAGATCTATTAAATTCTTTTTTCATTCTACGATAAGGGTGATTTCAAGGAAGGAATTTTCAATGTCTTGTATACACAGTTTTCTGACTATGCTTCAATTGAATATAACTTGTGTTTTTTTTTTTCACAAAATGGGACATGCAAAATGACCTTTTAACAATATATTGACTCAAGTTACCATATGTTAGGAAATCATTTATGGTGCAAAACAACATTGCATGCATACGAAACATTTCTTGATAATATGAGTCAAACACACTGACGCCTTCTTCTCACAACAATTTCAAATCATCGAATTCAAGTACACATTAATGTCATTTCCAAGTTATCTAGGTCCTCATATCATCATAAACAACATGATATATTTTCTCTTCGTGCACAACGAAAGAGTCAAGTTGTTAATCATCAACAAAATTGGCCATGAACTATGTTTGCTACTTAATTTCCCATAGGGATTCATGTAATTTGTAGTAATCTAAGTCTTAAGTTTCTTGACTCTACATCAAATTCTAAAAATTGTTCATTAATCTTCTACTATTGTGGAGAGTTTCGAAGGATTTCTTCCATTGATGTGTCATTTTAGATTCTTGGCATCTTAATGGTAAACAATTGTTTCAACTATGGTATTATGATAAGTACCACACCACCTTAGAAAGACGACCATTTATGTCTTCATCAACATTACTTCCATAATTTTTTATTTTTAAATTGGGATAAACCACATGTTAGGCACACCTTCAGTGAAACAAACTTGTCTTTGAATACACAATCATTAGAGTATGCATGTATCTTTTTATACTCTAAACCCATTGAACATAAAATTTTATTTGCCTTGTAGTTACGAATAGGTAACATGTTATTATATGGAAGCATCTCCTTCAACAACTGCAATAATTATGTGAAATTTTTATCAGCCATCAATTTCTTGCTTTTAAATTGAACAACTTAAAAGTTTCTGACAATCGTGTAAAGTTAGTGTATTTAGGGTACAACTCTTCTTAGAAATCAGACTTCAACGAATCATATAAATGAGCTATTCCAAAATTTTCTTCACCAACATCACGTATCATGTCTTCTAAATGATCACTCATCCATTCGTCTACATATTCTGTTGCCCGTGACGTCGTAGGCTTGTGTAATACTTTTTCATACTAAGGCTAAATTGTATAACTCTTGACTATATTACTGATGAACAAACGATCACGCATTGTGTCCAAATTCTGACGTATTTGATTTAAACAACAAATACATGGACAAAAATATGTCTCGTTCACCGATATTGTGTGTTTTTGAGCATATTTCAAGAACTCTAAAACTTTCTTTTCATACTCTTCACTTATGCGATGTTCATTAATCCAACCTCGATTCAGACTACATTTGTAACAAACTCCATCATTATCAAGTATGCATTTTAGAGAAAAACACAAAAATGGTTTCAACCAAAATTTTATCACATTTATGCATAAACTTCAATGTACACGTTATAACGAATTATACAAAATAATTTTTTCAAATTGTCTAATCAGACAATTCAAGATTTAATACAAATAATTAAAAGTTTAGTCATTCATACTAAATCTCAAACGGAAACTAAGATTCACTCAATATTTAACTTGAATTTTTAATAATAAAAAAATCTAATAAATCTAAAATTTATAAAATATAAAATTATAATTACAATTAAAAATATGATTTAATCAGTTCCCTAAATCTTAAAACAAACTAATGAACCTAATAATTAATCAAACATCTAAATTACTTTTTATCTACTAAAAAACACCTCAAAATGCCAAAAACTTTACTAAAACAATTTAAAAAGTTTCTAATATGCTAAAATCTATTAATAGAAAGTATTTTCATCCAAAATGCAATCTAACATATAACCAATGAATGTCATGCAATCAACATATAACCAAAATCCAATATTTTTTTATGGAAAACTAACCTTATATCAAAAACCAAAGTTGAGAACCGAGTGTTGAGCAAAAACACAATACTAAGAATAGCGAAAACAACTTCGACTTAAGAGCCTCGTTGAGCTGTGAAAGGAGAGTGATAATGGAGGCCTGAAAACCCACTAAGTAGGAAAACCATTGGTTCATATCGAAATAAAAACATTTCTTATACATGATAACTACTAGAATGTAAGTTAAAGAAAGTAAAAATCACCTTTCTAGCTTGTTGCCAGAGTTGTTGGGAAAACTTGTGAGAAAGAGATCAACGTTAATTTTGTGTTAAAAATTATAAAAATGTTAATGGTCATTTTTAACATTAGTGTTACTCACTTGAAGTTATACGGTGACCCATGCGTTTTGTGTGTTAATGACAATTTTTTTTTTCAAAATTAAAACATATAATTTATACCTATATTTTATACCTATATATAAAGAGATACTTAATTTTGTGTACAATTTTTATTTCTATTTTATCCTTTTATAATATAATTGTTCTATAATTTTTTAAAATATCATTATTAATTTATTTGTTAGAAATAACCGCTATTTTAAAATATTTTGTATACAACTATTATAATTTTTCTTTTTTCTTTTTCTCATTTTTATTTGTTATTGTTTTTCTCTTATATAACTTACAAATATTTGAAAAATACAAACAAACATACAACACCTATCTTTACGCTAATACAAATATAAACAATCTTGTCCTTTTTGTTATCAAGTAAATACATTTTTAAACTAAAAATATTAATAATTGAATCTTGTCCTCACAATTTTAAAATCATATCTTGACAAAAATTGTAATAAAGTATTATTCTTTCTGTAATTTGAAAGTACTAACGTATTAATATCAGTTTTGTTAAATCTAATATATAAGATCCATTAAAAACAACATATAAGAATCCCATAAATGGAGAAATTCTCCTCCCTAAATACTCAAAACAAGTAGTTTCAAATTAAGACACCCTTAAAGAAAATGTAATGAACCTTTTGAAATAAAAATTAATTATTTATACAATTTTTTTCTTATGTACTAATATTAGCTTATATGATTTTTTTTAGGTATTATTATGAATTTCTTTCATCCAAATAGATCATGTCCTTAATAAAAAGGTAAGAATGCAGAGAAAGAAAGTAATAGAATTAGGAAAGAAAGCAAAGAAGCAATCCAAAACCCACACTTAGAAGCAAACAGACATTTGAGAAAAATCACACACAACAACTGAACCATTTCATCACATGAGAAAAACACAGGTGTTGAAAAAAACACAACTGAATCAATCAACAACATTTGAATCAACCAACCAACCTTTGATAACATCAAAGGTGAAGAAACCAAAAAGCAACCATTTTTACACACCCCACATTGAAGAACCAAAAAATGCAAAACCCGACATCACCGCCACCACCACCACCACCGTCATCGTCATCATTTTCCTCCACCTTCTTCAACCTAAGAGATCCAAAGCCCAAACCCACTCTCATCCTCCTTTACACCTTCCTTTTCCTCTCTCTACTCTCCCTCACCCTCATCCTCTACCTCTCCCATTCCACCATCCACACCCACTCAGGACCCGACCCCTTTCTCCACCCGACTCATGCCCACCGCCTCGTCTTTGACCCCCACAAACCCTCTCCCCCTCCGCCGCCCGCCGTCGCCTACCTCATCTCCGGTTCCCGGGGCGACGCCGCACGGATCCTTCGCCTCCTGGACGCAGTATACCACCCTCTCAATGTCTACCTCCTCCACCTCGACGCTTCCGCCCCTCATGCAGAGCGCGAGCTTGTGGCCGTCACCGTGCAGTCCAACCCCATCTTCAAGGCCGCGCAGAACGTTCACGTCGTGGGGAAGCCCGATTTCTCCTACCCCAAAGGGTCCTCCCCTGTCTCGCTGCGCCTCCATGCCGCCTCT